TTATTTTTAAAGAACATTAAAGTTTAGGCCTTTAGAATTTGTTCGTTAAATAGTTATTGATTATTAAAAAAATACAAAACATGTTTTATTTGTCATGGTTGTAACAGGCAAAGGGAAGGGGTGGGCAACTCTCAGGAGCACATAGAAACAGTGGCAAAAAATTACTCTTCTAGATAAAGCGTATTCCAGAAGTGAATGTAAGAAAAAGCTGAAATGGTAACATACGAGGAAATAATGAATGCATTATGACTTGGTAACATACAAGGAAATAATGAATGCATTGTGACTTTTTACCTCCGCATACCCATTTTCTCATAGTTCGTTGAGGAGAAAAAGAAATGAGGATGCTGACCTGATTTTCATTCCCAGTGGAAAAGGCTCCTGCAGAACTGCCCTGCCTTTTGACACTATTATGGTATTAAAAGTTCCCTGAAATTTTATAAGTCTTTACTATCTTGGCACACTTGCATTCATTTTAGTCAAGTACTGTCACCTTTAGATTTCAGGCTTGCAGAGTCTTTTAAAAACACACATTGGAGAACACATAGTCTTCTAACAGTAAAATCTTGGCTTATTAGAATGTTTAGTGACTGGGGTATTCAGAGTCAGTTAGAAAAGTGTCTTTAGAATTTCAGCATATGGAGATGTCTTTCATAGAGAAACTTGGGGGAGTCAGGCAAACCCTGGCATGTTGAGCATGGAGTGTCCTCATCTGCATGGGCACTTAGACACCTGGACAAATCAATCAACAGTGAGGCAGGATGGAGAAGTTCACAGAATACATGCTGCCCACTACCCAGAGCTGTGAGGAAATCATGAGGACTGACTGAGCATTTATTGTGCGGATGTGCACATGGTTTCTATGCCCTGGGATGTGGCAGTGAAGATGAGGTGGGAGGTTGAAGGGGTGGCCTGCCCCTCCACACCTGTGTACGTTTCTCGTTAGGTTCAATGAGAGACTTGAGAAAAGAAATGAGACACAGAGACAAAGTATAGAGAAAGAAAAAGTGGGCCCAGGGGAGCCGCGCTCAGCATACAGAGGACCCACGCTGGCACCGGTCTCTGAGTTCCCTCAGTATTTACTGATCATTATCTTTACCATCTTAGAAAAAGGGAAGTGGCAGGATAATGGAATTATTGTAGTGAGAAGGTCAGCAGTAACACATATGAATAAAGATCTATGTGACATGAATAAGTTTAAGGAAAAGTGCTGTGCCTTGATATGCATATGCAAACATCTCCATAAACGTTTTTAGTGCATAAAGAGCAGCATTACTGCTAGCACATCCCGCCTTTCACCCTAAGGCTGTTTTCTCCCAACTTAGTACATGGAAGATAGTCTGGTTTTACACCCTAAGGCGGTTTTCTCCCAACTTAGTACATGGAAGATACAGTCTGGTTTTACACTGAGATGTTCCATTGCCCAGGGACACGCGGGAGACAGATGCTTTTCTCTATCTCCACTGCCAAGAGGCCTTCTTTCCTCCTATACTAGTCCTCCTCAGCACAGACCCTTCACAGGTGTCAGGCTGGGGGACGATCCGGTCTTTCTCTTCCTACGAGGCCATAGTTCAGACTATCACATGGGGAGAAACCTTGGACATTACCTAGCTTTCCTAGGCAGAGGTCCCTGCGACCTTTGGCAGTGTGCGTGTACCTGGGTACTTGAGATTAAGAGAATGGTGATGACTTTTCACCAGCATACTGCCTTCAGGCACTTGTTTAACAAAGCACACCCTGCACAGCCCAAAATCCGTTAAACCCTGAGTCACCACAGCACATGTCTCTTGCAAGGAGAAGGTTGGGGTTAGGGTCACAGATTAACAGCATCTCAAATACGGAACAAAATGGAGTCTCTTATGTCTACTTATTTCTATATAGACACAGTAACAGTCTGATCTCTCTTTCTTTTCCCCACAACTGAAGCTTCAGTTTCCTGGGCTCAAACAATCATCCCACCTCAGCCTCCAGAATAGCTGGGACCACAGACATCTGCTACCACATGTGGAATTTATTATTATTATTATTATTATTATTATTATTTATTTTGTAGAGAAAGGGTTTTGCTTAGAGAGCCCCTTCAGAACCTTTCCACGTTCAATGTGGAGGAACTGTCACTATGCATGCGTGGCACGTCACGCCAAGAGGGGAGGACCACTGGAAAATTAGAATCCCTTTTGTATTTGTCACATAAGCAGCATTTGGTTGTAAAAATAAAGGGCATATGGCATTTCTTAAAATCATTTGCATTTCACCCAAATATTTGGCCATATGTAAACTTTCTTGCCATGGCTGTTTTTTGATAATGTTTCTAATTGTGTACTAATAATTTCTAATAATAATAATGGGAAAATCAGTAATGAACAGGTGTTGGAAGGTCTGATTTCTCATTTTAATTTATTGTTTCTAGCAATGAATTATTGTTGACATGTTGCATAACCAGAAGAATGTTATTAAATAAGTCATAATTCTCCTTTTTGGTGTTGATGACACCCAGATGATAATTACACTTAATGAGTTTAACAACACATATAAAAGATAATCTAAAATTTCAGGACCCTATTACATGGGTTATCATCTGTTTTGGACCAAAGATTAAGAATTGGATTCCAAGCTTTTTTCTGAACAGCTTGTAATAAAACCTGTTTGTGAATTAATTAATTCTTGAACTATTGTGGGTTTTAATGTTTTAATTTACAAGCAATTTGGAATTTATGACATCTGCTAATATTTTGATACTTCATGCTATTCAATGTTGTCATGAGGCTGTTTTTCCCCCTGGTAATTTACAACCTAATTTTGAAAATAGTAAGTTGGTCTCTACCAGTTCACTCTAAGGAGAATTGCCCTGTTTCATCTCCACTGCAGTTTTTTTTTTTCCATAATTAAAAGTATCTTTGTTTTATAAACAAAATTAAGCGCCTTTGTGCCTGCTTCCCTGGTGCCCTTTCATTTCTTTTCACAGAGTTACAGATGAATTTACTTTCACTCTCATTATTTTACCTAAGCGGTTGGTTTTTTTTTTTTTGAGACTTGCTCTGTCGCCCAGGCTGGAGTGCGGTGGCCGGATCTCAGCTCACTGCAAGCTCCGCCTCCTGGGTTCACCCCATTCTGCCTCAGCCTCCCCAGTAGCTGGGACTACAGGTGCCCGCCACCAGGCCCGGCTAGTTTCTCATATTTTTTTGTAGAGACGAGGTTTCACCGTGTTAGCCAGGATAGAAGTGGTTGGTTTTTTACTAATTGTCCTGGTTATTATTTTTGGTTGGTTTTCGTTTTTGTTTTTCAGTGTACTGTAATGCAATTGAGGGTCCTCTGAACTTGATTGTAGAACTTTTAAAAAAAATCTCCTTTATTTAAACATCATAACTATAAACATGACCCAGTGGGAATAATTTACTTGCAGTTCCTGAAAGTACTTCATGAGGTTCCATGTAAGTCCACTAATAACAAAAATCACTCATAGCGTCACTGGTGGATTCAAGTATATTAAACCTGGTACCTTTTTATTATCACTTAAGACTATTTAGAGAAAATGGTTAGCATATTTAATTGTCTTAGTTCTTGATTTTGTAGATGATAGAGGGTAATTTAAACTACCTAGGAGGCTGACCGGGCACGGTGGCTCATGGCTGTAATCCCAGCACTTTGGGAGGCTGACGTGGGTGGATCACTTGAGCCTGGGATTTTGAGGCCCTGGCTAACACGGTGAAACCCCATCTCTACCAGAAATAGAAAAATTAGCCAGGCATGGTGGTGGTGCCTGTAATCCCAGCTACTCAGGAAGCTGAGGCAGGAGAATCACTTGAACCTGGGAGGTGGAGGTTGCAGTGAGCCGAGACATCACCACTGCTGTCCAGCCTGGTTGACAGAGTAAGACTGTCTCAAGGAAAAAAAAAAAAAAAGGAAAAACTCTCTAGGAGGCTGGATTCATTCACAATCAAATAAATTTTATAAAAATTAGGTCAATATCATTAAATGGTTGATGGGTATTTATAGTGACTGAAAAATAAAAACAATTTTTGATACAAAGGATTATCGTTTTATGAGATATAAATCTGGCTTACTGCCGGGCGCGGTGGCTCACGCCTGTAATCCCAGCACTTTGGGAGGCCGAGGCGGGCAGATCACAAGGTCAGGAGATCGAGACCATCCTGGCTAACACGATGAAACACTGTCTCTACTAAAAATACAAAAAACTAGCCGGGCGTGGTGGCGGGCGCCTGTAGTCCCAGCTACTCGGGAGGCTGAGGCAGGAGAATGGCGGGAACCGGGGAGGCGGAGCTTGCAGTGAACTGAGAGCATGCCACTGCACTCCAGCCTGGGCGGCAGAGCAAGACTCCATCTCAAAGAAAAAAAAAAAAATCTGGCTTACTGAAAAATCAGTGCAAATGGAACCCTTGTGAAATACAAATGTGTAAGAACAGTAAATGAGAAGTTGAGATGTCAGTTGGTGCCTTTGTTTTCCTTTATTTTAGAAGAGCTGAAAGACAAAGATTCTGTTACTGGAAAGCTAGGCTGAACAGTGGGGAACATTTCGCAACAGCATGGTATCTTCTCCTAGTGGTGTGTACAGTTTCATGTATCAGTTGCATAACGCAGTGTTCCAAACACAGCAATAAGGGAATAAGGTTCAAGGAATCTTAATTTGTCTTTAAACTTTATTTAATTTAAAATTAATTTAAATATTTATATAATAGCAGTAGCAATAGCTGAGCTAATGTTATCTATTTTGAGACTTTTCTTTCAGAACTTCTGCAGGCATAATAATGCCTGACTGTTCATTTTAATTTCTTCTTTTTTTTTTACTTTGCAAATAAAACCCTACAATCTGTGCTATGGACTAACACAGGAATTAAGAACTGATAACGTGTTAAGTATGAGTTAGGATGAAAAATAAACCTAAAGGAATGGGAAGGGTGGGTGAGAGGTAAAAACACCCTAAGGATTTTTAAGTCTTTTGTTTTAAACCTTTCCCTTTCTCCCTGGGCTGGTCCCCACAGACGGCATGCCATTTCTATGACTGGACGCTGAGAAGCCTGCTGGTCCACAGGTTTACATATGAAGTTACCATAAAGGTAAGCAGCCCAGCATACCATTGGATCCTTGTCCTTGTACCTGAAATGTATTTCAGGAACAGAACTGCATTTTGCCAAAACAGAATCCCTTCTGTTTTGAATGATGTTTTCCGGGAAAGTGGCACATCTTTCTCCTTCCTGAAATTGAAGGCATTAGAGAGAACATTATTAAATCCTTATGAGCTGCAAAGTCAATTCCAAATGAGGAATTTGCCTTTTTACTGCCTTCGAGAGTTTTGGATCCTAAATGATCAATACCAAACTTTTCTGGGTCTTACCAGTTAAGGATAACTATACCTTCTAAAATCAATCTCTCTTGTGAACATTGTAATTATGCAGACTAGTTCATTGTAAGTGGGCACACGAGTGCAGATTTTATGTGGCTCCTTTATCTTCATTTTATGCCCTATTAGTTTTTTAATATGATTTGCGTCTGTCTGCATTGATTTGCTAGTTAACTGCGAAACTTACCAGAAAATCATGCAGATTACTGTGTGTAAATCTGGTGAGATGCTGAGGTTTCCTGACTAGCAAACCAAACAGTTATATATGCCCAAGTGTCAAAAGTTGAAACCAATACCCAAGCTAAAACTAAGACCTGCACCCCAAAAGTTCTGTAAAAGTTTTCCTATTACCTTTTGGTACATGGGATTAGAGTTTTATTTTATTTAGTTGCTACTTAATTTTCTGGTTCTTTCTCTGATGCGTTTTTAGTTAAAAAAAAAAAAAACTATAGAAATTTGGTAACTTTAAAGCATAGGGATGGAATTGTGAGGGAGATTTTTGCTTTACTGTTTTGAGGAACCAACTAGAACTAAAATGTAGACTTAAATGTAACTAAAATAGGAAGCTTACTTTGAGGTACTTTTGTTTAAAGCCAGATGTACATGTAACAAGTTAAACATGTACAGATATTTCAGTGTTATTTGACTTAAATATTTGAAAGGTGTCATTTGTTAATAAAAACAAAACTTGTAATGTATTAGTGAATTTGAATTTTCTGATTGGCTCTTTCACTCAGTATAATGTTTTCGAGGTTCATGTGCATTGTGGCCTGCATCATTCCTTTTTATATTAGAATAATATCTTGTTGTTTGCATAGATCATGAACAGAACATATTTTATCCATGCATCATTTGATGGAAATTGGGGTTGTATTTCCCTTTGGGCTATTGTGAAAAAGATGTCATGAATACACATATACGAGTTTTTTGTGGACTTATGTTTCATTTCTCTGTGGCATTTACTTAGAAGTGGGTCATTTGGTACCTCTGTTGAACATTTTGAGGAACTATTGTTATGTTCCTCAAAACATAAAGTCGTCAAAGTGGCTGTTATGTCAGTCAGTATGTTTTGAAATGCCATTGAACCATATTCTAAATGTCAGAGGGATGATGGGAGAGGGGACCTTTCTCTCATCAGTGTTTTGAGTAGGTATTATTTTAGTCTTTGGGAACATAAGCTTCAGTTTAATTGAATCTAGCATACATTGAATTTCTCCTGTGTGTGAGGGGTCTGTGTTTGGCCTTATAAATGACTAAGTGTTTTTGTGGCCTTTGATACCTTAGGCGGTTTATAAATGCAGGTGGTAATTTGGGATTATCCTGAAAAAGGGCACTGTGTTGCTATTGTTCATCACTAAGGCTGGGAGTAACCTGTCTAACATACTGTTTCTGCCGGTGTTAGGTACTGCAGCTCAGAAAGTGAAGGCTCATAATTGTTTCCTTGAGGGGGTGTGTGGTTTCAACACATGTCCTCCTTTCAAAGGCATCCATAACAGACATTGGTAATTATGTTTGCTTGAATCTTGATGAGACTATGAGGAATGTTCACATTAGGGGGCGTTCAATGTTGAGGTTCTTGTAAAGGTAAACTGAGGCTGGAGCCGAACCGGGAACGAAGACACAAGGCAAATGGCAGTGAGAATAGCCTTTATTAGGACTCGCCGGTGAGGGTCCTCGGTCCAAAGGCGTGGGCTGAGGAAGTCACGCTGAGGGAGGAGGGTAGGGGCTTCTTATAGCCCGAGAGGTAGGGAAGCTGGTTGTGCAAACAGGGCCTGGGGGTTCTTGAAACTACTAGGGCAGGAGTTGAGTAAGGGTCATGAGGAAGAGGTCTTTGGAAACTGTTAACCAAAACTGCTGTTTACGAACTTGTGGAATGCAGGTGAGCTGCAGGTCATGGGGGAGTGTGGTTGCCCAGCCAGAACCTCTAACGTATGCAAGTCTGCGGGTGTGTACAAGGGTGAAGGGAGTCTTTAACAAAAGGCCTGCTACGCCGGGTAACGCCGCCATGTTGGGTCTAGATTCCTGCCTAACAGTTTTTAGGCAGGAAGATTCCATACTGAGAAGGGACTAGGCAGTTGTTCTCTGATGTAGAGGTGGGAAAATCTGTCCTACAGCAGTAAGGACTGAGACCGGCTTAGCAAATGTGGTCTGTGATGGGCCTGAGAGTAAGGGGCTTACGGTTCATGGGCCAGGTAGTTGTAGCTGCTTTACTCTGCCATTGCATTACAAAGGCCCTACGGAGGTGAATGAATGTGGCTGAGTTCCAAGAAAACTTTATTTATAGATGTTGATACTGGGTTGCAGTTTGCTGACCTTGACCTAGAGCAACACACTGGTTTATTTTCTTTTTATGGCTTTTTATTTTATTTATTTATTTTTTATTTTGTTTTTTATTTTTTATTTAAATTCTAGGGTACATGTGCACAACGTGCAGGTTTGTTACATAGGTATACATGTGCCATGTTGGTGTGCTGCACCCATTAACTCGTCATTTACATTAGGTATTTCTCCTAATGCTATCCCTCCCCCATCCCCACAATAGGACCTGATGTGTGATGATCCCCTTCCTGTGTCCAAGGGTTCTCATTGTTCGATTCCCACCTATGAGTGAGAACATGCGGTGTTTAGCTTTCTGTTCTTGCGATAGTTTGCTGAGAATGATGGTTTCCGGCTGCATCCATGTCCCTACAAAGGACACAAACTCATCCTTTTTTATGGCTGCATAGTATTCCATGGTGTATATGTGCCACATTTTCTTAATCCAGTCTGTCACTGATAGACATTTGGGTTGATTCCAAGTCTTTGCTATTGTGAATAGTGCCACAATGAACATACGCGTGCATGTGTCTTTATAGCAGCATGACTTATAATCCTTTGGGTATATCCCCAGTAATGGGATGGCTGGGTCTTTATTTTTATTTTAAGTACTTGAGTACATGTGCAGGATGTGCAGATTTGTTACACAGGTAAACAAGTGCCATGGTGGTTTGCTGTACCTATCACCCCATCACTTTGGTATTAAGCGCAGCATGCATTAGCTCTTTTTCCTAATATTTTCCCTCCCCACTCCCTGACCCCCCAGTGCCAACATGTGATGTTCCCTACCCTGTGTTCATGTGTTCTCATTGATCACCTCCCACTTATGAGTGAGAACATGTGGTGTTTGGTTTTCTGTTCTCATGTTAGTTTGCTGAGAATGATGGTTTCCAGCTTCATCCATATCCCTGCAAAGGACATGAACTCCTCCTTTTTTATGGCTGCATAGTATTCCACAGTTTATATGTGCCACATTTTCTTTATCCGGTGTATCATTGGTGGGAATTTGTGGTGGTTCCAAGTCTTTGCTATTGTGGACAATGCCACAATAAAATACGTGTGCCTGTGTCTTTATAGTAGAATGATTTATAATCCTTTGGGTATATGCCCAGTAATGGGATTGCTGGGTCAAATGGTATTTCTGGTTCTAGATCCTTGAGGAATTGCCACATTGCCTTCCACAATGGTTGAACTAATTTACACTCCTACCAACAGTGTAAAAGTGTTCCTATTTCTCCAGATCCTTTCGAGCATCTGTTTCCTGACTCGCTCTGTCACCCAGGCTGGAGTGCAGTGGCCAGATCTCAGCTCACTGCAAGCTCCGCCTCCCGGGTTCCCGCCATTCTCCTGCCTCAGCCTCCCGAGTAGCTGGGACCACAGGCGCCGCCACCTCACCCGGCTAATTTTTTGTGTTTTTAGTAGAGACGGGGTTTCGCCGTGTTAGCCAGGATGGTCTCGATCTCCTGACCTAGTGATCCACCCGTCTCGGCCTCCCAAAGTGCTGGGATTACAGGCTTGAGCCACCGCGCCCGGCCTGTTTCCTGACTTTTTAATGATTGCCATTCTAACTGGTGTGAGATGGTATCTCACTGTGGTTTTCATTTACATTTCTCTAATGACCAGTGATCGTGAGCTTTTTTTCATATTTGTTGGCCGCATAAATATCTTGTCCATATCCTTCACCCACTTTTTGATGGGGTTGTTTTTTTCTTGTAAATTTGTTTAAGTTCTTTGTAGATTCTGGATATTAGCCCTATGTCAGATGGATAGATGGCAAAATTTTTTTCCCATTCTGTAGGTTGCCTGTTCACTTCTTTTGCTATGCAGAAGCACTTCAGTTTCATTAGGTTTCTACTTGAGTCTTCCCTGGCCTTAGGAAATAGGCCAACTCTTGTTTTTTTGGAAAACATTTCACCTGGTCTTTTTATTTTTATGCATAATTATGGAATGTTTATGTAATTACATAATTACAAAATATAACACAAATCATACATTAATTACCTTCATATGTGTAATAGCATAGATATTATTTTCTTTAATCATCTCACACACACACAAAAGAGAAATACACAGGCAGTGTTTCAAAACTGTCTTCTTTTTTCAAACAGAGTGTGGCTTCTGCTTCATCAACACCTCATTGCTGCGAGGTGAGGCTACAATGAGCATAACCAGTGACGAGGTGAACTTCCTGGTGTATCGGTATCTCCAGGAGTCCGGTAAGAGGCTTGGTTTTCTGTCGGGAGGAAATTCATCTTGAGCGTCTTATAAGCAGAATGATCAACCCTTGATTCAAAACCAAACGTACAAGAAGCAGCACTAAGAAGGTTCTTAGTGCTAATGGGGAGAAGAAAAGGTTCTGGAGCCATGTCATCCCACCTTCCTCAATGATAATGACCCTAGTGGACTTTGTTTGTCATCTCTACATGTTTACTACACGCAGCTCTTTTCCTAACCAACATACAGTGCTGGTGGATTTGTTTCCTAGGGCTGCCATAACACAGTACTGCAAACTGGGGTGGCTTAAAAAGAAATACGTTGTCTCCTAGGTCCTGAGAACAGAAGTACAAAATCAAGATGTGGGAAGGTCGGTTCTTTCTGAGGGTGAGTCTCTCCTGTGCCCCATCCTGGCTCCTGGGGCCTTGCTGCAGTCTTTGGATTCCTTGGCTTGTAGGTGCATCACCCTCATCTCTGTGTTCAGATATGTCCACATTTCCCTGTGATAAAGACAGTCAGATTGGATTAGAAATTTACTGTACTCCAAGATAACCTAATGTTAGTAATTGATGTTGAATCCAGTGATAATTACATCTGCACTCACCCTGTTTCCAAATAGCATCACATTCTGAGGTGCACTGTTGGTGAGCACTTCAACCTGTGAATTTCTGGAGGTGGGGGCACACTTCAACCACCAACAGTTGATTTGGAGTCTTTTTAAGCTTTGTGCCCTTAATACTATATTGAATATACAGTATGGAACTTAATTATTTGAAAAGGAATCCCCAGTTCCTAGGCACCCTTTCCCGGAGATGTATGTGTTCAGTTTGAGGGAAACCAGTCTGTGGTCCCTTGGGCATGGATTCGCTCACTGCTGGGTAGGGTACAATGTAGGCATTGGAGCCACCCAGCATGACTTGAGCTGTGGTGGTTAAACAAGTCTGAGTGAGGCCTATTCATTTGAGCCTCAGTTTTCTTGCCCAGGCAAATGTGATTAAGTATGTGAGGCATGTAACATATTGTAAATAAGTGCCCTCCCCATCCAAGCCTGGGTCTCTGTCCCTTGTGCTCCCAGCTACTGCTATTCATGGGAAGTGGGGTGCTTTCTGCATACATATCAGATGCCTTGGATTGGCTATTGTCATATATAGAATAAGCAATTGGTATACAAAACAAAATAGGTACCTTCTCACCCCTGGGAATCAGGGAAATAATAACCCTTGTGCTAATATCTCAACCTTGGCTCTTAGATGAGCACATGTGGTCTCCTGTCTCAGAGCTCAAAGCTTCCCAGAGGTGGCTGCAATGGAAATCACATGTGCCAAAACCTGCCTCCCTCTTCACTCGTGTCGTAGAATGTAGCATTTAGCAACACTTCTGCACAAGGACATGGTGAAGGCCAAAGAGACTTACAGCATGCCTCCAACTTGCTTCCAACTAAGGCGGAGGCAACACACATCTTAAATATGAATGGTTTTACAGAGATGTGTTCTGTTGCAGAGCTTTTCTGCCTGTTGCCCAAGGCATATTGGAAAGTATGTAAAAAGACATTAGCCTTGGTGTATATGTCTGCAGGACATTCATGAAATTTGATTCTTTTTTTGAGGGTTTGCAGTTAGCTTTCTGGGCTAAATTCATGAACCTGTCAGGGTCACAGTTTCCGTGGGCAGATATGAATGTAGCCCAGGTCTGCTGAGTGACAGAGCATCCTTGTTTGCATACCTTCCCCTCCTTCAGCAGTGCTGTTGGTGTAACTTTCTGCATAGAAACAGAAAACTCTACAGTCTGGTCAGCCCTCTAGTGGATAGACTCCAGAATCTGCACAGGACAGAAGCCTGTCTGTTCTGCCTTCCAGAAAACAGGGTTCCTACCAGTTGGACCCTGTGGCAGCCAGGAAAGATCTCTCTGCATTTGCCCACATACCCATGCTGTCCAAGTCATGAAAAATCCAGTGAAGTATTTTCCCCACCTTATATATTTAACTTCTAAATGTATTTATCAGATAGATAGATAGATAGATAGATAGATAGATAGATAGATAGAGACAGGTTAGATAGATTAGACAGGTTAGATAGACTAGATTGGTAGATAGATAAATATTAATAGATTCATTAGGTAGATAGTTTAGATACAGTAGATGTTGAAAGATTAGACAGATGATAGATATAGATACATAGGCAGATAGATTGATAGATTAGACAGAGTAGATATTAATAAATAGATTAGACAGGGTAGATATTAATAGATAGATTAAATAGATGGATTAGACAGAGTAGATGTTAGCATATTTGATAGATTAAGATGATGGATAGATACACAGATAAGATTGATCGATAATAATAGATTAGAAGAATAGATATTAATAGATAAATTAGATAGGATAGATTGATTAGATTAGGTAGATACATGGATTTCCTGGCCATGTGACCTACATCACCTGCAGTACTTCTCTCTGGTGATGATGTCATTCATATGAGTTAGTGAAAGAGGAGTGAGTATGCAGAAGAGTGACTGAGATCTCGGCGACCACCTGTTCCACAGCAAGCCCAAGCACAGAGAGATAAAAGGCTACAGTGAGCACTCAACACACAGTGAGGTTGGGCTCTCCATAAAGAGTATGTGGTAGATGACCCAGCAACTTCCCAACGGGTGCGGGTCTTGGTTAGAGTGAGGTAAGGTGAAGGCGAAGCACTTCGCTGAGGTGTCCCTGTGTTCCTGTGCCCTTCATATCCTAGGCTTCTGAACAGAGGGCTGTTAGTTGAGTGGGTGGTTCTTGTCACTGCCTGCTGGCCTGAAGTTTCATCATTTTGGAGTTTCTGCCCGAGTGGAGACCAAGCTGTGTTCTGTGCCAGTCTCCTCGTGTCGCATCTGTAAGCTGCTGTTGTGAGCATGGTGGTGTCAGGGTCAGCTAAACAGAAAGACATGCCCCCTCCTTCCAAGACTGACCTCACACTTTAGGGGAGTAGTACAGTATGCTTTAAAAAACCTCAGCAGAAACAACCCAGATATCCACTGACAAAGGAAATTCCATCAAAAGAATGTGTGCATCCATTCAGTGGTATGTCATGACTGATCTTTGAAAAGGAAGGAAATTCTGACACAGGCTACAGCATGGATGACCTTCAAAGACACTATACCACGTGAAATTAGCCAGTCACAAATGGCAAATACCACAGGATTCCGCTTGTAAGGGATACCTTGAGGAGTCTATGGCAAATACCACAGGATTCCGCTTGTAAGGGATACCTTGAGGAGTCTATGGCAAATACCACAGGATTCCGCTTGTAAGGGATACCTTGAGGAGTCTATGGCAAATACCACAGGATTCCGCTTGTAAGGGATACCTTGAGGAGTCTATGGCAAATACCACAGGATTCCGCTTGTAAGGGATACCTTGAGGAGTCAATGGCAAATACCACAGGATTCCGCTTGTAAGGGATACCTTGAGGAGTCTAGTCCAAAGAGACAGTGGAAGGGTAGTTGCTGGGGGATGGGAAGAAGCAGAGGGCATGGAGTTCGTATTTAAGGGTATAGATTCAGTTTTGCAAAATTAATAAAATTCTCGACACATTTGCTGGCGAAAGTTGCACAACAGTGTGAATGCACCTAATGTCTCTAAACTGTGCACTTAAAAATGGTTAAGATGGAGGCCAAGGTGGGAGGATGACTGGAGGCCAGAATTTCAAGCAAGCTTGGGCAACATAGCAACACCCTGTCTCCACAAAAAAAATTTCAAAAATTAGCCAGGCATGGAGGCGCACATCTGTAATCCCAGCACTTTGGGAGGCTGAGATGGGAGGATCGCTTGAGCCCAGGAGTTCAAGGCTGCAGTGAATGGGGGTCATGCCAGTATACTGCAGCCTGGGCAACAGTGAGACCCTGTCACTACAAAATAAATGTATATTTTTTACCATGGTTTTGGGCAACAGGTTCATGTGTAGATGCATTAAGTTTAGAAAATTAGTCTCAGAAGAAAGAGGGAACCCGAGTAATATTATTACATTTTAATATAACTTAGAGGGAATTATAATTAGGGTGAATTCCCAGTAATTATTACATGATAAGGGCTTTTTCATAGTTCTGTTCAGTGTTTGAGGCAAGTCCCTGGCACAGATAGTGTTGTTAGCTACATTGGTGTCTGACAAAATTTGGTTATTAAAAAAATTAAGCAAAAAATGTGGCTTTAGTCATAATAGCAGTATTCTGGCAAAAAGGCCATTATGCCTCATTGGGTTTAGGTGAAGCAAGCTGTGTTGTCTCTGTGCCATGGAGCACTGCTCAGCTGTGAAAAGGAAGGAGCTGTGAATAGGTGCAGCAAACTAAAGAAACCTCTAGAGGAATGTGCTAAGTAGAACAATCTATCTCACAACATGCCAGAATCTCTGGGACAAATTTAAAGAAGTGCATAGAGGGAAATTTATAGCACTAAATGCCAATAAGAGAAAGCAGGAAAGATCTAAAATTGACACTCTAATATCACAATTTAAAGAACTAGAAAAACAAGAGCAAACAAAAGCTAGCAGAAGACAAGCAATATCTAAAATCAGCGCAGAACTGACAGAAATAGAGACACAAAACACCCTTCAAAAAATCAGTGAACCCAGGAACTGATTTTTGAAAAGATCAACAAAACAGGTAGATCACTAGCCAGACTAATAAAGAAGAAAAGACAGACGAATCAAATAGAAACAATAAAAAATGATAAAGGGGATATCACCACCAATCCCGCAGAAATACAAACTACCATCAGAGAATACTATAAACACCTCTATGCAAATCAACTAGAAAATCTAGAAGAAATGGATACATTCCTGGACACATACACCCTCCCAAGACTAAACCAAGAAGAGTTTGAATCCCTGAATAGACCAATAACAGGCTCCGAAATTGAGGCAATAATTAATAGCCTACCTACCAAAAAAAGTCCAGGACCAGACAGATTCACAGCCGAATTCTACTAGAGGTACAAGGAGGAGCTGGTACCATTCCTTTTGAAACTATT